CCTCAAATGCTGTTCACTTGTTCTGCTTCGTTTTTATAAATAGCATTGATTTCTCCTCCACAAGTACGTATGTATGTATATGACAAGCGTGTTAATATGTGGTATCTGGCTTTCTCACTGGCATTGAACTCAATAAGAGCTGAGACTTTTGGTTAATTTATCGATGAGTATCTTGCATCAGAACAGGGCCTGGCACTTCGTAGGAACTCAAGAGATAAATACTTGTCAAACAAATTAACACTCTGGCGTCACCCAGTTTCTTCATCATCTTCCCAAATCCTATTCTGCAACCTATATCTGGACTGTGCTACCACCTCCTGCGCTCCAGACACCTCATTTCACCTTTATATGATTTTTTTTAGCCTTTTACAAAAATTGAGTTTTTAAAAATCAAATCAATTCAACATAAAAAAATATTTTCATAAAAATTGTTGGTGCAAGGGAACAATAATGTTGAGGTACCCAGGGAGGGACAAGAAACAGCAGGATAATTTCCTACAATTAGACCCAAAAGGGAAGAATGAGGGTTACCAGCTCCTGTGAGAGCCAGAGCTGTCGATGAGCTTCACATGTAATCTTAACCTCAGGCAGCAGTCAATCCCTGGTCTTCAGACTCTAAATCTAGCTTTTCCCTTTGGAAATCATCAAAGGAACAACCAAGGGAAATTTGGAAGGGTGACACGAATAGCTGTTTTCTGGTGCAAACAAGCTTCATTTCATCATATGTGAAATAATTCAGTTTCAGAATCTATAGTAGATATAAGCTGATATGCAATGTTATATATAATTCAAAAGAACTGAGGTCAGAGTTTGGTAGAAATATTCCACTAAGAATTTAATTAAGCTGGGCGCGGTGGTGCTTCCCAGCTGCTCGGGAGGCTGAGGCAGAAGGAGTGCAAGTTCAAAGCCAGCCTCAGCAAAAAGTAAAGCTTTAAGCAACTCAGTGAGACCCTGTCTCTAAATAAAACACAAAACAGGCTAGGGATGTGACTCAGTGGTTAAATACCCCTGCGTTCAATCCCTAGTACCAAAAAAAAAAAAAAGTTTAAGGCAATCTTCAAAGGAAATGGGCCTTAAAGAACCTGAGGTCCAGGATTCAGAAATTTAGAACCTTCCACTATTAGGATATGTCCAGGGGCATTTGTTTTGTGAGTGGTGAGATGTGACCTGTGATAAACACAAGTCCAATTAAAGGCTTCAAATCATGATTCCTGGAAGATTCAATTTGTCAAGGAAATCCAAAAAGTTGGATTCTTTTTTCCTTATTTTTAAATGCACCTCAGTGATCTGGTCATTTCAGAAAATCAGGCTCTCAGTGTTTTGACACTTCATCCTTATAAACCACTCATTTGAAAAAAATCATAAACCTTATAAACAAAAACAACAGATCATCTAAGACTTAGGATGAATGTATTGACTCAACTCTGGTTCTTAAAGGAGATAGAAGTTTCACATTCACCATTCCTTGACTGATTGGAAGAGAAATTTCCAGACTTTTGCTCAATTTCCTTCATAACTTAGCAGGTATTCTCTTATCTAGTTGCTGTATATCCTTCTATCACCTCTCTTCACCCTACCTGCAGTAATCAAACACTGAAGTCTTTCAACATCATTTTTTACATATTCAGGGAGTACTTGCTACATGTCAGTCATTGCACTGGCACCAGGATCCATTTGTAAATAAGACAGCCTGTCTCCTGCCTCCACACTCCTTCATGTTCACTAGAGAGACACACAATAAAACAAGTACTCACCAAAAAGTATAAGTAGGTATTAAAGGAGAAGGAAGCTCAATGATCGTAGCAGGAAGACCTATTTAACCTGTTGATTCTCAAGACTCCTAAATTTTTTAGTTTGTTTTGTTGTTTTGGTACTATGGATTGAAGCCGAGAGTGCTTTACTGCTGAACTACATCCCCAGGCCTTCTATTTTTTGACACAAGATCTTAATAGCTTGGCCAGGCTGGCCTTAAACTTGCAATGCTCCTGCCTCAGCCTCCCAAATTGATGTAGTTACACGTGTACACCACTACACCAAGCAAGACTCCTAATATTTGACTGTCTCTGGGCAAGATTATTAAATGAAAGTCTACTTATCCCAGGTCTAAGTATTTCAAAGTTATAAGATCAAGCTTACCAATTTAAATAAAATGCATTCTAGCCTCTAACATTGACAAAAGCACTTCTTCAACAAGTTGAAAACCTGTGCTTCAATTTGTTTCCTATCTCAGAATTCAGCTTCAGAATGCAGCAGCATAACAAGACCTAGATGTCAGCCAGAAGCCCACAACCCTCTTTTTGGTTCCCTTTGCTTCCATGTCCTGGCTCCATCCCTTACTAGAGTAGATATTAAGAACATGTACAGTGGCTGGAGATACAGTTCAGTTGGTAGAGTACTTGCCTCGCATGCACAAAGCCCTGGGTTCAATCCCTAGCACCAAAAGAAAAAAAAAAAAGAAAGAAAAAAAGAAAAAGAACATGTGCACCCACTTATAATCCCAGCTACTTGAGAGGCTGAGATAGGAAACAAAAATTCAAGGCTAATGCCAGCAATTTTTGAAACCCTCAGCAACTCAGCAAGACCCTGTCTCAATAAGAAGAATAAAAAGGACTGGGGGTGTAGCTCAGTGTAAAGTGCTCCTGGGTTCAATTTCCCTACCCACTCCCAAAGGTGACCCTGGGCCATTGCTCAGGTAGGGGGTGTTTAAGCAGTGGCATGATATGTCCCCAGGAGAATGGGCCAGCAAGAGGCCTGGGAAAGACCCTAAAAATAGGGTTGGCCACTTGAGCAAGGAATGCTAGGACCCTGGAATCCAAGAGTTAGTCTAGGGCTGTAGGATCCAGTGGCATGAATCCTTTGCCACGGAAAAAAGCTAAGGTAAAGGGACAGTCCAGAGCAAGGGCCCCTCTTACCTGGGTTTACCAGTCATTTTTACTCCTTGACATTATTCCTGGCCCTAACATCTCTCAACATCCTTAACTTGACCAGATTGCTACCACTTACACTCCCTGGTAGGCCTTGGAATCCTTGTCTCTGGGAAATAGCCACATCCAAGGCCTCAAATTTGGTACTTATCATTGTCACCAACTATTTCCTTCTCTTTTGCCTTACTCTTTTGATCATCATCTTTGTTCTGAAATTTCTCCAGACACCTCTGCAGGGCATGATGTAACGTGGGGCATGTTGCATCAGAAAAGAGGAAACTTTACTTGCTGGCTGCTTCCCAGTCCTGGGGCCACATGTGGCTAAGATAGCTCCTAGTGATTAGCCAGAAGGCATTGCCTTGGGTTGTGATGAAGAATCCGACCACCTCTAGGATAGGCTCAGAACCCTTCTGCCCTCATGCACAGCTGGGCAGCTCAGGTCTCCCATTACTGCCTGTAGGATGGGTGTAGATGTAAATTCTCCCCACCCTGCTGACCTTTACCCTGATTGGTTCCTGTACATTATATTAGCTGTGTGTGTTTTCTCATTAAATGAGATCCTGCTTTGATTGTTCTCCCTGGCGCTCTGGCGAGGGAGGGCTGGATGTGGGCCGACAGTCGACCTTTATCTTTCTTGGTTGGTCCTGGTTGGGGCGCGCTCCCCCAATCTCTCCCTCAGGTCAGGAGGGAACAGGGGGGCTAAAAACCCCGACAACCTCATCTTTAAAATGGACTTATTTTCCAAATTTATCTTGAGTATCCACCATGTACCTAGCATTGTACTCATCAGGCAAGAAAACAACTCTTAGGGCTGGAGGGAAACAGAACAGAGACAGGAAGGAAAGGCTCTTAACCTGGGTGTTCAGTCAGACCCTTCTTTCTCCTCTGACTCCCTATACACCTTCCCAAGGCCACAGGAGCCCTGCTAGTGGACAGTAAGGTGTCAACGGCTGCAAGCAACACAGACAAAGCAGATCCAAGCAGGAGCTCATGATTTTCCTCCTAAGTCAGCTCCTCTCTGCAACCCTAGTCCTCTGCTAATGGCATAATCATTCTTCCAGGGATGCCACTCAAAGCCAAGAGCCATCTTTGCCTCCTGCCTCTTCTTCATCTCCCTCCTCCAGTCATGTCAATTCACCATTCAATGTTTCTAGATTCTGTCTTTCTTCCCATTTCACCTACAAGACTACATTTTCACCTCCCGATTGGTCCCCTTGACTTCTCAATCCCCTATACAATAGTCTGACTCACCTCTCTGGGTTTTCCTCACTTTATCTCTGCTCCCTATCAGTAATCCTCCCCTTCTACCATTGTATGTCAAGGCATTTCTAAACTGCTCCCCATCTGGTGGTTAAGACCATATGTGAACTTGGTGTGGTAGTGCAGGCCTGAAATGCTAGCAACTCAGGAGGCTGAAACAGAAGGATTCTCAAATGTGAGGCCAGACTGGGCAGCTTAGCAAGCCCCCGCCAAAATAAATAAATAAATTGGGCTAAGGATGTAGCTCAGTGGTAAAGCAGTCCCTGGGTTCAGTCACCAGTACTGGGAGATATGGCTTCTCTGCATAAAACTCATGCGTTAGCTAATAGGTTCTGCTTAACCTTTCCCAAATATGTTTTTTAAAATACTTTTTTAGTTATACATGGACACAATGTCTTTATTTTGTTTATTTATTTTTATGTGGTGCTGAGGATCGAACCCAGGATCTCATTCATGCCAGGCAAGCACTCTGCCGCTGAGCCACAACTCCAGGCCCCAAATATTTTTTAACCTTTCCAGTTTCTATACATTTCTTGTTCATTTACCTAAAGACCCTAATGCTATCTCTGCCTGTCTAATTCCCTCTTTAAATACTTAGCCTAAGTGATCACCTTTCCCATGAAGTTTTAAGTGCAGAAATATAGGGCTTGGTACTATCTGTGATTACAGACATCTTGGAACTTACAAATGTAAATTTTGGAGGGACATATCTTCAAATCATAGCAACAGGTAAGCAAGAGGAATGACTACACAAATTATGGCAGTACAAAACAGTAAGTAAAGTCCTTCTGTGAAAGAATTCCCCACGCAAAGACATTTCGCCGGGAGAATTCCAATTTTATTGCAAAAGGCTGTGTGCTTATATACAACTAAGGGGGAGATGGTGGGGCTTAGATAAATGGCAGGCCACCCGTTTATTGGCAAGTTCTTCCAGATATCAGCTCCGGAGCCCAGGAATTAGTTCTCATTGGGGCTAAGGTTCCCCGACAGCGAGATTTGAAATTGGCGCCGACGGGAGAGTTCACATGGGCGGGAACTTTTTGGGCCACTGCAAAAAAGAGGAAGGTAGGAAGAAGAGGTCCTTAGGCGCCATGTTGGGGTTTTTCTCTGGGGTGCGGCTGCCGTTTATACTTTTACCAACATTCTGAAGTTGAGAGAGAAAGATATCATCTTTGGATGGAAATTTAGTGCTATGATTTTGGATGTGGTTTGAGTGTGTCTCCCAAGGGTTTGTGTGTTGGAAGCGTGATCCTCAGTGTGGCAGTATTGAGATGGAGGAAACTTCAAAAGGTGAGGCTTAGTGCATGTAATTATGTCATTGGGAATGCTGACTTCAGAGGGATTAACAGTTCTCATGGGATCCTAGTTAGTTACTACAAGGGTAGGTTGTTATAAAAAGCTCCATAGCTTCCGTCTCACCACGTGATCTTTCCCACTCACTTTAGTGTGGGAATGATGAACCCAGCCTAATTCCATTTTAAGATTGGGAGCCATCTCGTCACAAAGTCATAAAAAGTTAATTTCTGTTTTACTATAAATTACTGTGATTTCTAAACTTGCTTGGAATGCCTGCCCGTGCCTTGAACTCACCCATGCCTGGTTTTCCCTGACCAGATAACAACCCTCTCTGAAACCTTAAAGTTGCCTCATAAATTCTGGTGTTGAGATCTAAATTTACTTTCTAACTTGAATTGTTGAACCATTTGGATCATTAACCTAATATCTGCCTTTGTATTATGCTTGTCAAAATCCTGTTATCTGTAAGTTCTCAAGATACCTGCCTTTTACAACTTTTTATGCTATAAAACTGTGCTCCTAGAGAGCTGGGGTACTGTCCTCTAACCCACAGATTTTGGGAGAGACAATCCCAGCTGGCCAAAATTATAAGCTTGCTTTAATTTGATTTAAAATTGGAGTTGGTGGTCTTTTCTTTGCATTGTGGTTTAACAATACAGCGGAGAGAATTTCAGAATCTGAAAATTCAGATCTTCCTACAAAAGTGAGGCCAGAAAAGTCACTAACCTTTCTTGTGTATTCTTTACCATCTACAAAGGAGGATTCTGATTCACTGAATTTTTGTAAGAATCAAATTCTAAAATTCTTGAAATTGCTCTATTGAGATTAGTTGTTACTGTCTGTATTAGTCTGGTTTTGGTTCCTATAACAAAATACCTAAAGCTGGATAGCCCTTTGGTTGTGTCACCTGATGGTGGATGGCACTGAGGAAGAAACACATGTGAGCAGGAGAGATCTTATGGTGAGACAGGAAGCTAGGGAGCTAGGAAAAATGGAACTTGCTCTTTTACAACAACCCACCCTTTCAGTAACTAAGATTCCATAAGAACTGTTTATCTCTCTGAGTCAGCATTCCCAATGACCTGCACAAGCCCCACCTCTTGAAGTTTCCCTCATCTCCTTGTACTGCCATACTGAGGACCACATTCCTAACAGATGAACCTTGGAAGACACACTCAAACCACATCCAAAATCATAGCACTATCTTTCCACCCCAAAATGATAGCTTTCTCTCTCAACTTGAGAGGACTTTGCTTACTGTTTTATACTGCCAGTTTGTGTAGTCATTCCTCTTACTCACCTGTTGCTATGATTTGAAGATGTGTCCCTCCAAAATTCATATTTGTAAGTTCCAAGATGCCTGTAATCACAGATAGTACCAAGCCCTGTACCTTTGCACTTAAAGAAAGCACTTTATAGTTTCTTTGACATCTCCAAATCGCCTGCATCACAGTGCTTGCATTTTGGGGTCATTATTAGGTCAAATAACACAAACACTGCCATACCTTGGCAGTCAATCTGCTAACTGAGACAGATACTAAGCGATTAATGGGCAGATATACAGTGTGGATACGCTGAACAAAGAGATGATTCTCCACCAGGCATGACAGAGCAGGATGGCACAAGATCTCATTGCACCACTCAGAACCTGTTCATTGTTTGCAAATCAGTGTTTATAGGAGACCTACGATGTCTATTAAGTTGGAGTATTAAAGACTCCAGTTTGTAAATATTCAGCACTAAAGCTATTTATGTGAGACAAAACAACAGGAGACACCTAAAAGTAGAAGTCAATAAGGTTGGTTGGTTAGTTTGATTGTAAACATATTCCTGGATTGAAAATACCTAGAGAACTAAAATCACTTGCATTAACAATACAGTTCTGGGCACCTTTTTTTCATCCCCTTTTCAAATTACCACGTCCCTTATAAAGAACATTGCCAATACATTAACAATCCCTAAGTAATAAGGACACTAGAAGTTTTACAAAAGAAGTTTCCCTACCAAATTTTATGAGTTTTTAAGTTTTGAGATCTATTCCCTTTAGATTCTGTGGTGTAGATAACTTTGATTTGGATGAAATAATATTTTTTTTTCTCCAAGTACTCTTTCCCACTTTCTTTCTTTGCTCTTCAGATGGGCTACACATGAGATGACAGTAGCTTGGGCATCTATAGGCCAAGCAATGCGATATCCTACAGATACGCTGTCCAATACATCAGCCACAAGCCACAAGTGGCTATTTAAACTAACAAAAATTTTAAAAGAGGGGCTGGGGATGTGGCTCAAGTGGTAGCACGCTCGCCTGGCATGCGTGTGGCCCGGGTTCAATCCTCAGCACCACATACAAACAAAGATGTTGTGTCCGCCGAAAACTAAAAAATAAATAAATAAATATTTAAAAATTCTCTCTCTCTCTTTCTTTCTCTCTTAAAAAAAATCTTTTTTAAAAGAGTTCCTCAGTGGCACTAGTTTCAGTTCAGGTGCTCAATAGCCACCATAGGGTAGCAAAGATCTAGAACATTATCACAGAAAGTTCTATGGCTGCCCTGGGACACATGTTTGGCAACAGATAGACCTTCATCGTTTCAATTCCAGCCTTTATCTTTTACTAGACTGTGACCATGGAAATTTTCTTTAATTTTCAGCTTCAGATAGACTATAAAACAGAAATACAAATTCCTATGCCTTTAAAGTAGTCTGTCTTGGGCTGGGGATGTGGCTCAAGCGGTAGCACGCTCGCCTGGCATGCGTGCAGCCCGGGTTCGATCCTCAGCACCACATACCAACAAAGATGTTGTGTCCGCCGAGAACTAAAAAATACATATTAAAAATAAAATTCTCTCTCCTCTCTCTCTCTCTCTCAAAAAAAAAAATTTAAAGTAGTCTGTCTAATGCCCTAATACATAAAAAAAAATGCTTAATAAAACTTTTACTAAGCTGGGCACAGTGGCACACGCCTGTAATCCCAGTGGCTCAGGAGACTGAGGCAGGAGGAGTGCAAGTTCAAAACCAGCCTCAGCGAAAGTGAGGTGCTAAGCAACTCAGTGAGACCCTGTCTCTAAATAAAATACAAAATAGGGCTGGGGATGTGACTCAGTAGTTGGGTGACCTTGAGTTCAATCCCCAGTACCAAAAAAAACAAAAAACAAAAATCAACTTTTACTATTATTACTTACGTATCTAATAACTCAAGCTTTTGAGATTCAGATTAGACATGAACATTATCTTCATACACTTGAGTACTTGATAAACTTTATTGGTCATCAAAAAATTAAATTTAACATGTTACAGAATACTGACACATTTTTTTTCATTTATGACATCAAGCTTCTAACAGAGCAAAATAACTTGAATTGTCCTGGAGAAACCTTAGATTCAGATTTAAACCCATAAATTGTTGACCCAGAAGCTTTTTGATTCCCAAATCATCCCTGGCATTTACTTCAGGAACATGTTTGGCAAGTGTTTATATTTGTACAAGTAGTCTGTCAGCTATCTAAGTTTGACTTTCAGAGCAATGAGGCAAAATTCACGCCCGCCCCCCACTTTAGTTTGGAAATAAAACCTGTGCTAGCTACACATTCCAGCACTTTCAAAAGTACTTCATTTTATCTAAGCGTGTCTCCAGCCCCACCTACTCTCCTCTCTTTCAGATCAATATGCATCCTTGTGTAATAGCATCCAAAGCTGAGAGATAGAGCTGTGGATAATGTGCTCATAGAGCTTAATCCCTGTTGCCCTCACAGAGAGGCACATTACAGTTAGGAATGCAAGCAGCCGGAGCCAAGATAAGTCTGGATTCATTGAACAATTTTATCAACCACGACTACATTAATCAACCAAAACAAAAATAACCAAAAGCTATAAGAAAATTCCAATCCATCATGGTATAAATTTTAAATAATTATTAATGTCATATTTGGACAGTCCAGTTTTTCCAAGTGCTCAAAAAAAAATAACAAGACACAAAATAGAAGTAAGATTAACCAATGAAATGATAAAAGACATTCTCTGAGCTTGTTGTTCAAAGCTAGATTGCAAAACATACTAATTAAAGAAATCTTTAGTTTGTCTCCTCCCTAGATCTTTGGTTGAGTTTTTTGTTGGTGTTATTTCATACAAAAAAATACAAATGAAGGGAGCTACTACTTTTGGAAGTTTACAGTCCAGTTGCTCATGGGAGCATGCCAGGCAGGTGAAAACACATCACCAAATGATATAAGAATGTTTTCCAGCCCTGCACAAGGGCACATGACTGTAATCCCAGCGGCTCTGGAGGCTGAGGCAGGAGATCTTGAGTTCCAAGCCAGCCTCAGCAACAGTGAGGCTCTAAGCAACTCAGTGAGACCCTGTCTCTAAATAAAATACAAAATAGGGCTGGGGGTGTGGCTCAGAGGTCGAGTGCCCCTGAGTTCAATCCCTGGTACAAAAAAAAAAAAAAAAAAGAATGTTTTCTAACCATAATGGTGGTGCATTGCTGGAATCCCAGCAACCCAGGAGGCTGAAACAGGAGGACTACAAATTCAAGGACAGTTTAGGCAACTTAAAAAGAAAATAATGTTTTCTGATCCACAATATGAACAATTATGATTCTAGTCAATCTCACTGCCAAACAAAAAATCTGAACCAAGTCACTTTCTGCCATGAATGTGAAATGGTCATAATTGCAAAAAAAGTATTTTTATTAGTAATCATTGGCCTACTGCACAATGAAACTAATAAAAGTTAACATTAATGAATACTTAATGTGTTCTAAACATTGTTTTAAATGATTTGCCATATGTAATTCCAAAAACCCCACATGGTAAGTAGAGAATATCATCTACCAGTTTTAGAGATTAATAAACTGAAACATATAGGTTAAACAATTTACCCAGATCACATAGCAAATAAATGTTCATAATAACAAGAGCCATAAACTAAGGTTGGGCAATCTTTACACTCTTGCCTCTGGTGGCAATCAGAAAAAAGACATACTCATGGTAACACTCATTTCTTACTACCCACAAACCTGTGACTGTACACCAAGACTAACACCTTAGAGTTTCCTGTTGATTGTAGGAACCAATTCAAATGAAGAACCTCAAACATTTGATTTACTGTCATCAAAGCCACTTCTCCTTGTTTTTTGAAATTCCCAGTGGGGAAGGTAATCTCAGCTATCAATACTTTTGAGGTCAAGAGGCAAATCCTACTGACATTATTTTAGTACAAAAAAAAACACACTGGAAGTTGGAGTAGTTCATGAATTTTTCCCTCTCTCTCTCTTTTTTTTTCTGTTGTTCATTTGTGTAAAGGAATCAATCACCCTTTTAGAAAACCTGTTTGCATTCCATCAGAAAGACCTATAACTGATACAGTTTCTCCAACCACTGCCGCAGTGATTGTTGCCTTCAGGATGGGCTGAGGACCTCAGCCAAGCTATTCAGAGAGAAACCTGGGGCCTTTGTAGACATTGCCAAGAAAGAATCTGTTTATTGGTCTTGGACCTAGGAGACCTGTGGCTTAAGATTCTGCATCTGTGACTGCTGAATCCACCACACAGAGCACAACCAAGCGTCACAACCAAGGGGAAGGTTGAGCCAACAGAGGAGAGAAAAAGAACCCTGGGGACATTATTTGCATCCTGAGCCTTTTTCAGTGACTTAAGCTGATAAATTCCAATTTTTTAAGTCTTATCATTGATGATTGAAAAGTTCTAATACACCTCTTTGCTATTTCTCAAGTTCACTTTTTATCCTCTCTTCTCTACCTTCTTTTTCTTTTAAATTTTTTTAGTTGTCAATGGAACTTTTTAAAATTCAATTATATGTGATGCTGAGAATCAAACCCAGTGCCTCATACATGCTAGGCAATCGCCCAACCACTGAGCAAAAACTCCAGCCCCTGACATTCCTTCTTCTTGGTGCCAGGGACTGAACCCAGGGCCTTGTGCATGCAAGGCAAGCACTCTACCCAATGAGCTAGATCCCAGCCCCCTGACATTCCTTCTTCACAGGATGCCCCAGTTTATGTATTCCTGCCTTACGAAGAACATGACTATAATGGCTTAGAACAACAATGATTTATTATTTCTCCTGGGTTGGCTGCCTGAGTGATTGTACAGATTTTATTTGTCAGCTTTATCACAGGGGTTGTTGCTCAGTGGTTGGGCGATTGCCTAGCATGTGTGAGGCACTGGGTTTGATTCTCAGCATCACATATAAATCAACTTTAAAAAAGTTCATTGACAACTAAAAAAAATTAAAAAGAAAAAGAAGGAATGTCAATTTGAACCAAAAAAACCTCCCTAAATCCTAATGGTGTGTACCAACCAAGGTTTCTCATTCTGCCATTGCATGTCTGCCATCCCACTAGTGACCGCTCGGCTTCTGTTCCATGGATTTCCTTTTTTTGGACACCAAGGCTGCAAGAGGAGCCCCCTATTGAGAGCAAGTCACCCTTGTGATAGGATGAAGAGGGCAGGAAAGCAGGTGGAAACACACCCACAAGGGTCCTTTCAAACCTCAGTTCA